TCAAATTTAAAGATGCCGAGAAAAGAAAAGAAAAAAAAAAAAACAAAGAAAAATTACTTCCAGTGAATTACAAAAAAGAAAGGCTTGAAATTAATGGATTATATGAATATTAAGTCTTACAGGACATTAAACCATAAAGCTGGTTGGTATATGACACTAAATTAACTTTATATGGCTCACCATTTCTGTGGCACAGAACTGAAGAACCAAGGGATACCTGGCACAGTACTTTCCACAGGACGTATGTTTAATAATTATCTATTCACTGATGATCCAGATGATACAGGCCCAGCCTGTTCATTTTATATTTTAAAAAATCTTAATAGTTTGAATACTGGCAGGAAAGCAGCTGGCTTGATGAGCAAGTAATTCAAGTACTTAATGGCTAAGTATTCTATACAGAAAATAATTTGTACCAAGAAAGCTACTGTGGGCTTCATTAAGCTATGTAATATATTTTTTATTCATCAAGCCTCATATTCTGGCTAAATGCTTACTAGACATAGCAAGAAATAGTGGATTTTTTTTAAAGGTAGTGTGAACAAATGGGCTTTGTCAGAAGTAAAAATGACTGATGAAGCAAAGAGAAAAATTCTAAATAAATTATCTTTCTAAAATCAGCCCACCTCTTTCAGCAAATCAAATATACCTCATCATGAAAAAAATAATTTTCTAGTACTCTTAGATTACCATTCAATGTGTCCTAAAATCTTAGAACAGTTTACTTTTTAAAACTTTTACTGCTTTATTTATATTAAATGGTTTCGAAATAAAGTCATCATCTAGACCACAGACTAATACTAATTTGCAAATAATAAATGATAAAAATGGGACAGTGAGTACCTTACACCCTTACGCCCCACTTCAAGTATTTCAAAGTCGGTAAAGTGTGACTAGTAACACTCATCACTAGAAGAAGGTTCCTCAGAGGAGAATGAGTAGGAAGCACCCTTCCTCCCGTCTCCCTACCCACCACTTTACCCCTGGGTATATCCCAGTAATTCTTTCTCCTTTGTAAGACTATGTAAATTCTTTGACTGAAGCTCCAATTCGGTGAATGGCCGAATTACTATTCTAGTATGGGGGGAAGGGTCAAAATGTCAGCAAATCAATTTCTACCAACACCAACATTTATGTCACCAGTAAAGAAGCCCACTGCTGCTCTTACGCTGGTATCTTATTTAGGCACTGTTGAACCAAGAAAAATCAAATTTGCAGGAAATGTGGTTTTTAAAACATTTTTTTCCAGACTCACTCTGATAATTTTAGGCAAATGAAGGAAAAGCACAGAAAAAATGCAAATCAAAGAAGGAAAAAAAAATAAACTTGTTAAGTGAATTAAGGGGCAGTATGCTGGAGTCCTTCAACCAAAGATTGTGAAATATGACAAAATTAGAAACTGTGCGTCATTATACACTGTCAGTATAGACAACCTGTAACCCAAAAAGTTTTTTAAAATAATTTTAAATTCAATAAAGCCTTGTTTTCATTATCAAAGTGCAAGAGCTGAAATTCATTAAAGGGGAAAAAGACCAGGAAATCCTTTATTAATTCAGTGGGAAATACCTATTGGTAGTCAAGGAACCGTTTTGGGGTTTTCTTCCCTTTAACTCAATGGTGCTAAGATTTCAAGAAGTAACTGATGAATAGCACCTCAGCTCAGTGAGTAAATTTCAAAACTCAGGTGTTACAGTATGATCAATTAAATACTCACTCCTTTTCATTTTTTAAAACATTTTTCTCAAGATTTTTCTAAAGCAACTAATGTCAACAATTCAAGTAGGTTTACAAAGCAACCTAAGGCTATGAAGTGAGTGCTGAATGTAAGTATGTGTATATGTGTATGAATAATATATAATGACCCATGAAATTCAACATCTTATGAAGAAACTGAAGCTGCTGGTAACAAAGGAGACAGGAAGACATTTACTCAAAAGAGGCCAACACATTTCTAAAACTTCATCTTTTTTGTAGATAACACTTGGTTTTGGCATTTAGTTCTTTTTTAGAAGCAAATACTAATTTTTTTTACAGTATAATAGCAGGTGGAGTGTGTTCAGTGCTATGATGAAATCATTCTGTGAGATGTATTTCAGTTGTCTTATTGCTGTTCCAGCCACTGTCAAGAGAAAAATTGACACAGTAAAGAAAACAAGTTCCTTCCTCCTTGTCCCACCCATAGGACACTGTGCTGAGCAAGCAGCCAGGAAGACTGCTGTGTCTCAGCTCTGAGCAGGTATGACTGGAGACATGATTTCAGGGCTTTCTGTGCAGGGGGAGAGAATGAAGCGATGTGCTGAAGTGCCAAGGGCATAAAGAGTGGGTGCTGTCATCCCACCGCCAACTCGGGAGCTGGGAGCCAACCCCTCATTGTCATATTTGTCCCAATGAACGGGGGAAAGGAGGGCTTTGTGTATTGGTGCATGCATATTTTGAGTTGTATACAGGTATGTCCCTAGTGGTAGGGGAAAAAAAGTCAAGGTGATAATGGTGATGAGGAAAAAGTCAGATCTGAGAAACTTTGAAATTAATATATCAGAAACACAGAATTTCTAATGACACAGTAGGAAAACCTCAGTCTGATGTAACAGAAATACCTTATTCAAGTTTGGTGGAAAAAAAACCCACATCCCTCAGAAAATCTTAGAAACATCCGCCAGCCAGGGATAATTTATGTTGTTCACAAAAGAAGAAATATTGCTTTTTTCCCCTATTACACTACTAATGTAATCTGCACGTGGAAGTTGTAGAGATAAAATAAACTGGTGACACAGTAGACTTTTATACTCACACGGCTACCACAGTAGACCGATGATGGTAACGCAAGATGGCTTCGGGAAAAATGAGAGTGAATGAATGAAAAGTCCTTTATTTAATGACTGACCTGCCCCTGCTTTATAGCTCACAGGTTGTCTAGTCTGTTACTTTTAACTTGTATCACTTACTTTAAAGACCTCATATATTTTATCTAATTCTCACAGTCATCTTGCACGGTAGGCATCACTAATCCTCTATTACAGACGAGGAACCTGAGATACAGTGCTGTTGAGCTACACGCCAACAAAGCTGCCGAGCCAGGATTTGACCCCACGCTGCCTCCATGATTCTTGATGGGTTTGGGCGTAAGCTATTACCTAGCAGAGCCAGTGCTTATTCAGGGAAAGAAGGATATTTAGGAAGTGGTATAAACCAAACTGTGTTCCCCCCGAATTCCTATGTTGAAGCTTAATCCCAAGCACAGCAGAATATAACTGTATTTGGAGACAGGGCCTTTTAAGACATGATTAAATTAAAATGAGGCCATTCTGGCGGGCCCTAATCCAATCTGACCAGCATCCTTATAAAAATGCACAGAGATGGCAGGGGTGTGCGCCCCAAAGAAAGACCACGTGAAGACACGGCGAGAGGGCAGCCATCTGCAGGCCAGAAGAGAGTCCTCAGAATGAAACCACCCTGACTTTGGACGTCTTGGCCTCCAGGACCATGAAAAAATAAATTTCTGGTGTTTAAGCCACCCCGTTCCACCCCATTCTGCGGAATCTTGTTATGGCAGCCCTATCAAACCAGTACAGAAGAAATCATTGAACGAAGTCACTTACATATTAAGTAACTGTAGCTCAACTGTTGTTCCAAACTGGACAGAGCATTGCTACAGATTTTGGCCTTGTTAATGAAGCAGGAAAGAGCTGGGTCCCTGAAGGCACCAGGGGACTGTGGCCCTGTCTGCAGGCACACTTCTTCTAGTACGTTCCCCTCATACTACTATATCTACTGTGTGTGTGTGTGTGTGTGTGTGTGTGTGTGTATGTATGTATATGTATATGTGTGTGTGTGTGTATGTATGTATGTGTATGTATGTATGTGTGTATGTATGTATGTGTGTGTGTGTGTGTGTGTATATATATATATATATATGCCACTACCACATTCACCTCTTCTGTCTCCCTCACAGAAACACGGCTGCCAGGTCCCCACAACACCAACACACACGCCCCAACAGGCCAGATACATGACAAATTAAAAGCATTTCAAGGCATGGCCCGGTGTCGTTACCTCAGATCTTGCTAGAATAACATGACATTTATAAAAATACAACCCACTGGATACTTGGCGCTGCTTGGGAATGAAGAGTATGTCCACTTAAGCGCCAATACCCCAGGCTGTCAAAAAAAGTCTCAAGCCAGGATTTCTTCTATAAACATTACCTATCTTTTAAAATTCTACAGTCTAGGAAGTGAAGAAAATATGCCCCTTGCTTATTTCCAAGTCGCCTTTTGCCTCAACATAAAAAAACAAACCAGACAGAAGAATATGCTACGGGCTCGGTCAAGGCCCACGGACGGAAGAGCTCTGCGCCTCCGGCTAAGAGCCCCCCCACTCCCAGCCTCGGCCCCGGGTCACCCCGGCCCCCCACACACACTGAAGCTGACAGAGCCCACACTGCACCAAGGCCAGCCGCCTCCAATCCCCATGCACGCTGAAAGGGGGTATTTACAGATTATTTTTTCAGATACCAGCCAAATAATGTCCCCGTTCACTCTCTGGCCCACCTTAGACTGTACAAAATTTAACATCTGGGAGGATAAACTCAGCCCCGAAGGCAGACAACAAGGGTGAGCAGTCACGGGGGAGTTCTCCTCAAGCAAAGAGGATCTGCCAGCTTCCCTCTGAGGTCCAGGCCGTGAGAGGCCAACTGTGGTATGTTTGCGTTTCCAGCAGGCCTGGTGCTTGCTGGCTGCTGCTGTGTTCAGTCAGAACCCCACGGCCCAACTGTCCTATAAACATCTCGCCCTTCTGCTGAGAGCTGCCCACCTGGCCTTATTCTTGGAGCCGAGGATATGCTATTTGGGCGCTGTGGGCTGAACGTGAACTAACACTTGGAGCACAGCTGACCCCTCTCTCCTCCAGGCCAGTGGCTGTTCTAAAAAAAAATAAAATAAAATAACGCAGGCTCACATGAACATAACGAGCCCGGGAAGAGAAGCCCAGATTTTGCTCACCATGTGCCACCCAGCCATGTTTACACTGATCGCAAGTCCTCAGGTTAATCTTCCCCGGCTGGAAACATTCACACGTGCAGTTTACCAGTGTGCAGCGGATGGCCTGAAAAGGAGAGGAAGACAGATCAGCATCTGGTCAAAGGGACTGTATTTCTTCACCATTTTAACAAAGAGCCCCCACACTTCCCATTTTTGACGGCTTCGGGGGCCTGGAGAGTTTTAAAAAGAAATTTTGAAACCATCAAAATCTGTTACCAAAAAATATTAGAAAACAAAGCTCATTCACTAATAGGATGTTTCACACTGTTCATAGATAACCTTTAAACTGGAGGTGAAGACCAAGTCTAATAAGAATAAAGGATTACATATTCTACAAAATGCCAGGGACCAGAGAGCGAGAAAAAAATATTGCTGCAACCAAATATTCACTTTTAAGTTTATCCACTTGGCAATAATGTGAAAAATACACATTCCAGTACAATAATGTTCAAGTGAAAGTAGAACATGGTGTACAAATAATATCATTAGGTTATTACTTTTTTTCTGCTGAGTTACACTCAAATCCTTTATTGATCTTTCAGACACATTTTGAAAGACACTCCTGTTGGCCCAGTAAGACCTAGCACAGTTCTCGTATTACTTATCACTTCCCAATTACTTGTTTTCCCCCTCTTCGTATATACTAATTCCATTTCATTCCTATTTTGAAAAATACAAAACAACCCTCCTTCTATTTTACTGGTGATGTTAGAAAATAAGGTTAAATTTGTCTTTAGATCAGCCCTAGACTAGGAAAAGATATTTATGTGAATGTTTTATATATGGAACAATTCACTATATCTTAGAAAACTGAGAAACACTCAAAAAAATCTTTCATTTCTTTACAAGTACTTTTAAAAATCACCTCACCAGTTTATATTATAAAGTGAATCCACAGAAAATTAGCATTAATGAAGTGTAACTTTTTATACATTAAAAACTGATGCTTAAAAATTGTGCTAAAGCTGACCTATGCTCCCAGACTACAGTTAATAAATTTATCTCACACATTTAGTTCTAATTTGCATGGAAATTCTGAAGACAGAAGGGATTCAGTCTGATCATTCACAGATTAACAATCTACTGTCACTACCTGAACTGCCAGGAAAAGATCTTTCTACAGCTTTAGATGTAATCAATAATTGCTGATCTCGGGGGAATAGGGTGGGGGAATAGTGGGGAGAGGCATGGGGCTACCTGAAACTGCAGTGCTATGCCCGATACTTACACTCACTTACACAGCTCCAGATGCTCATATTCCAGGAACCAGTTGGATTTTATATAAACTGTCTCAGTTTGTAACAGACAGTATTTTAGGTATTGTTAACATGGTTGGGCAAAATTCCACGTACAGAGAATAAGACTGAACAGGCTTTTACTGTTCCCTGTGCCTTAGATCAGGCAGGTTTAAAGTCTTTCTCTTTGGTTTCTGAACACTAATTAAATCCATGGTCCCTCTTTGGTGTCCAATGTCAAGAGTCCTCGCTGTAGACTCCTTTTGGGCTTCCAGCCCTAATTTGCGCCTCTATTACTGCAAGAAAAATATGCAACTGTATAACCTGCCTGATATTTTGGGGCCTCTCTTCCAATGTCAACAGTCGAATGACATATTCGCTAGGTTGTAAAACTCTGCAATACAAATTAGTGATTCAAGGAAGTAGTCCTAAGAAACAGGGAAAGAAAAGGACATGATGACTAAGCAAGAATAATATATATATTTAGAGGCTAGAAGGAGAAATATTTCTTCCCAAATTTCTTATTTCAACTTCAAAGGCTTACTGACTGAGCACTATATCAGAACACCCCAGGTTAGAAATAGCTTCTTTAAATAACATGTTCATTAATAAACTCGCAATTTGATTGCACTATGGTAAAACAAAATAAAACAATGTAGAGAGCAAGGTTTCTACTAAAAACAAGGCACTTGACAACCTATTTTATAAATTCAGATGTAGCAACCACGGTGACATTAAGATATTTATATACCAGAAGTGTGGTAATAGAAGCTCATAAACACTAAAAATCACTCCTGCTTTACCAAAATTAAGGAATGACTATCTCTCAAGGACTCTATGTTAACGCTGGCACAAAAGACACACATATTTTAAATAATTAATTTCATAATATTTAATTATTTTACAAAAACAGCCTCATTTTACGTTGGGTCTAAAACACACTTGTCAATTTTAATTATAGCTATATTCAGGACAGAACAAATTAAGAGACAATAGATTTGCTTTATTTTCATATGTATTTCTTTGTTCATTGGTTCAACTATTCATTCATTCACTCAGAACCAGTTTATGATTCAAATATTTTCTCTTCCTAAGTAACTTTATACAGCTGGCACATTTGGGAATTACACTTTTCAGATCATCATCCTTTTGCACGAATTCTACTCGTTTTGTACCTAAACATACAAACATTTGAACACCTCAACTCCTTTTGTATATAAACACTTAAGCACTGGAATATCCATTTTGTATTTCTCTGAATTCCAGGAGGTCTATTTGTTTTAAATTCAGATTTATATAGACTACAATTGCTCCTTAAGGGAATTATATATATTTAAACAATACAGCCTAAATAAATATTTTGAGTAAGAGACTGCCGTGGCTTCAAAGGAAGTTTTACTCTAAATAACATTTTTGAAACGGCATAAAACGTTGACATACTATTTATTCACAACAAAACAGAACCAATGTGATCACTTGCCAACTCATCCACACTTAAAAAAAATAAATTATCATAAAACTATCAAAGCCAGTGAAGCCTCAAAAATGTCCCTGCTTTTCAAGGAGAGAGCTGAGAAGAGGAGAACTGGTGAAGCTTCCATTTTGGGGATCACATCCATTTCTTCATTTAGCTAATGTCTGAGTGCCTCCCGTTCCCTGCTGGGCACTACAGCAAATCCGGAGATGACAACAAAGTGGTAGTGAGGGGACACCAGAAAAAGGGCCGACACTTTGACCAGACTGTGCCCACCTACGTATGCAGGACCTTTTTGCAGGTCTGGCCAACTCGGGCTAGCAACCCCTCCACACCTCCAGGACCCTGCCTCATTAGGAGTGCCCTGAAACTCTGTCCTCAACGTCAACATGATCGGCTTTCCCAGCTCCCCAGAAACAAGAACAATAATCAGTGTTCTTAAGCCTGCAACTCATTAGAAGTAATCATTCCTTCTGCTTACCTTCACCGCGGAATTTTTGAAAGAAAGATCCATGCACCCAGCACCCACTGCTTCCAGCTACATTTTAGTTTTGCAATTTGAGGTCTGCCCCACTGAAACTGCCTTCTTGGAGAGGAACGGTCTCATCATGTCTGGGCCCTTTCTCTAGTCTCCTTATCCTCCCAGACCTCGATGCACTAATTCTCCTTCGCTCCTGGGCTGTAGAGACCAACTATCCGAGTTTTTTGGCAGCAGCTGTTCACTCTCTTTCCACTGTAAATAAACACAGGTGTTTCCCACGGCCAGGCTATTCATTCTTTAATTTGGCAGTCTCATCCACTCCTACAGCTTCAAATATCATCACCGTGCAAAAAACCATCACCGCGGAGCCAAGTGCTATGTTAAGTGGCAGGAAATGGATGGCAGAGTCCCTGCGCTCTTCAAGCACTTAACTGTCAGCACGCGTGGGCAGAGGTTCAGAGGAGAGACCCTAAGAACCGAAGGAAACCCTTGACCAAGTTTGAGAAGCACCATCTCTCCTTCTTTATCCCTTTGTCTTTTCTTCAAAGGTAGGATTTTGAAATTCATTTGCAACAGTAAATACTACCTATTAACAATAGTTTGATTTATTGGATATTTGCCATTTTCTCTGCTAAACACTTTACAAACATTAGCTCTCCCTCAGAAATTACCCGCATGTCGCAAAGGAGTAAACAAACGTGGAGGTCAAGTCAGCACTTTGCCAGAGGTTCCAGGAATCAGATCGCTGCCTGTGGGAGCCCTCCCTCCCATTCACAGTCAGCCAGGCAGCCATGGGCAGAGCCCCTCCACCTGCCCACCATCCAACGCCCATGGTGTACTGTTAACCCCTGTCACCTTACGAGCTTTCAACTCAAGTATTACTTCCATTCTCCAGGGCAGCTGCTCTCATCTCCTGATCAAGGCAGGTTCCCCTCAGTCTCCTGTTTCATAAGGGATCTTTCTGTCACAGCACTTATCACAGGTGTGAACAGTACATTTATCTATACTTACTTAGCTATAACATACACACAACACACAGACACACACACATATACACACACACCTGTACCCGTGCGATTACTTGATTAAGGTCTGCCTTTTCTTCTAAACTTAAGCTCCTTGAGGGCAGGGCAACATGTCTGTTGGGCTTACAATGTATACTGGCAAATAGGTGCTCAACCTCAGAGCTTCCTTCCTCCCTCATCTGTAAAATGATGGTCACAATAACATCTCAACAGTGTCAAAAGATTTAGAAGAAATAATGAACATAAAGCACTGTGTCTAGCGACAACAAAACTCAAAAGATGAAAACCATTCATGACCTCAAGAAACTTCACACACTGTATTTGAATGATGTTTTCCCCTTATGATTCTTCCCAATATATTTTCCAACGCCTTGTAAAATGCTTACTACAGATTTTGTCTTAATGAATAAATGAACACTCTGACGTATATGATGCCATATTATTTATACTATAATCCTCTAAGTTAGACACAACAGGGATTAGTATTTGTTTTAATACTGGGGTTCAGCAGTATCGTTATAGGTGTCATCTCTTAAATGATAAGGTAGATTTCCCAATTATTAATCAGTTTATTTCCATTAACTACAGAAAAAGAAGATACACGGTTAAAACCAGTAAATTATGAATATTCATGTTCAAAAGTACATCTAAAATACATAAAGTAGGCCGCCTTAGTACAAAAGTATTTAATCAAGGTTTGGTCAGTAACATTTTGATATTTGAATATTAAATAAGAGTTCATCTGCAAGTATCCTGGATGAGTTCCAAAGCCCTATTCAAATAACAGATTCTGTTATCACTAAAACTGAAGCATCTCTAGCTCTATTACACTCACAACTGCCTTGGACT